CGCCATGACACCGTCACCCCCGAAACGGCTCTGGCACCCTCAAAACGGCAGTGGCACCCCCGAAACGGCAGTGGCCCCCCCGAAATGTCACTGGCGCCCCCAGAAATGGCACTGTCACACCCCAAAATGACAGTGATACCCCCTGAAATGGCACTGTCACCCCCGAAAGGGCAGTGACACCCCCGAAAATGGCACTGTCACCCCCAAAATGGCACCGTCACACCCAGAAACGGTAGTGACACCCCTCAAAAATGGCACTGTCACACCAAAAGTGGCAGTGACACCCCCAAAACAGCACCCAGAACGCCCCACAGCCCCACACCTGCAGCTCCTGCCCCGCGCGGAGCGGGGATGGGGCACAGGGACCCCAAACCTGTGCCCTGACACACCTTGAACCCCACAGCTGGCAGAACCCAAACTCGGGGGTGCAGGGACAGGGTAGGGACCCACGGCACCCCAAACCTGTGCCCTGACACCCCTGACCCCAAACCCTGAAACCCCCAAAGCGTCAGGAGCAGGGACCCAGAGCACCCCAAACCCGTGCCCTGACACCCCTGACCCCGCAGCTGCAGCACGGGGAGCCACCACACCCCAAACCTGTGCCCTGAGACACCTGGAAACCCCCAAACCCCCCACACCTGGCAGCCCCAAACACCCCACACCCAACCCCCCCCCCCCTGGCAGCCCCAAACCCCCCACCCCTGCAACCCTAAACCCCCCCCGCCTGCAGCCCCCTGACCCCCACCTGCAGCCCCCCACCCCTGGCTCTCCTCTCCCACCCCGGGCGCCCGCGGGGATGTCCCGGGTGGGTCCCGGTCCCCTCGGTGCTGTCACCCCTGGCAGCCCCGGTGACACCCCGGGCTCGATGCCACCCGCGCTGTCCACAGGACCCCGGTGGTGGCCGCAGGTGTGCCCAAGGTCACAGGCGTGTGCCCAGGTGTGCCCAGGTGTCACCAGGAGCTGCAGGTGTGCCCAGTGCCCAGGTGTGAACAGGACCCAGGTGTGACCAAGGTGTCACAGGTGTGTGACAAGGACGCCGGTGGTGGCTGCAGGTGTCACCAGTGCCCAGGTGTCACCAGTGCCCAGGTGTCACCAGTGCCCAGGTGTGCCCAGGGCCGCGTCCCGCGCTCCGCCCGGTGCTCGGAGCATCCCCGGTGTCCCGGTCCTACCTGGCAGCATCCCGAGCAGCAGGAGCAGGCTGGCGCCGTGCCCTGCCATGGCGCTGCGGCCGCGAGGAGGAGGAGGAGGAGGAGGAGGAGGAAGGCGCAGGAAGGCTCCGAGGGCAGCCGGCCCGTGCGGGGCCCTTTTAGGCGCTGGGCCGGGGCCGCTCCTCCCCGTGGGGAGGATTCCTGTGGGATGAGTGAGTGGCTCCGAGCTGTGCGTGGCTGCCGCCCTGCTCCGCTCCTACCCCCTAATTAGGCAGCGCCCGGCCCGCCGGACCCCGGCCGGACACGGGGGACACGGCGGGGACAGCGGGGGACACGGCGGTGGCACCGGGGGACACGGCGGTGGCACCGGGGGACACGGCGGGGACAGCGGGGACAGCGGGGACAGCGCCACCCGAGGGGACCCAGAGGAGGAGGAAGAGGAAGAAGCTGAAGAGGGAGGAGCCGGAGTGACCCGAGTGGCACCTGCGGTGTCACCTGTGTCACTTTTGTCACTTGGGTCACCATTAAATGTCTTTTATTTAAAAAAATAGATTTTTGGGGTTTTTTTGGGGGGATTTTGGGGAGATTTTTGGGGATTTGGGGTTTTTTGGGGGATTTTTGGGGGGATTTGTGGGATTTTTGGGGGGAGATTTTGGGGGGATTTCTGGGATTTTGCAGGCATTTCTTGGGATTTTGGTGGTTTTGGGATGATTTTGGGGGATTTTTGCAGGGATTTTGGGAGATTTCTGGGAGTTTTGGGGGGATTTGTGGGGGTTTTGGGGTTTTTTTGGGGGATTTTGGGGGGTTTGTGGGATTTTGGGGGGATTTTCAGGAAATTTTTGTGTTTTCTGGGGGGGATTTGTTGGATTTTTCGGGTTTTTTGGGGGGCTTTTGGGGGGATTTGGGGTTTTAGGGGATTTTTGAGGGATTTTTAGGGACTTGGAGGATTTTGGGGAGATTTTTGGAGATTTTGGAGGATTTTTGGGAGATTTTGTGGTATTTGGGGCATTTGGGGGGGGGATTTCTGGGATTTTGCAGGCATTTCTTGGGATTTTGGTGGTTTTGGGATGATTTTGGGGGATTTTTGCAGGGATTTTGGGAGATTTCTGGGAGTTTTGGGGGCTTTGTGGGGGTTTTCGCGTTTTTTGGGGGGCTTTTGGGGGGATTTGGGGTTTTAGGGGATTTTTGAGGGATTTTTAGGGACTTGGAGGATTTTGGGGAGATTTTTGGAGATTTTGGAGGATTTTTGGGAGATTTTGTGGTATTTGGGAAAGGGTTTTTTCGGGTTTTTTGGGGGGCTTTTGGGGGGATTTGGGGTTTTAGGGGATTTTTGAGGGATTTTTAGGGACTTGGAGGATTTTGGGGAGATTTTTGGAGATTTTGGAGGATTTTTGGGAGATTTTGTGGTATTTGGGAAAGGATATTGGGGGGTTTTAAGGGAATATTGAGATTGGAGGGATTTTTGGGGATTTTGGGTGATTTTTTGAAGATTTTTGGGGATTTTGGGGCATTTTTGGTGAATTTTTTGGTTTTTTGGGGGATTTTTGGGGATTTTGGGGCACTTTTGGGTGGATTTTGAGGGGATTTTGTGAAGATTTTTGGGGGTTTTGGGTCTCATCGTGGGGTCTTGAGGAAAGGCTCGTGCAGGACATCGAAGAGTCGCTTGGCCTGGTCGGGGACAGAGGGACAGGAGTGTCCCCAGTGTCCCCAAATCTGTCCCCTTTTTATCCCTTTCATTCCTTTTTTGTCCCTTTTTTATCCCTCTTTATCCCCTTTTGCCCCTTTTTATCCCCAAAATTTGTCCCTTTTGTCCCCTTTTATCCCTTTTTGTCCCCAAATTTGTCCCTTTAATCCTTTTTTATCCCTTTCTGCCCCCAAATTTGTCCCTTTTTGTCCCTTTTTTCCCGCTTTTATCCCTTTTTTATCCCCTCTTATCCCTTTTTATCCCCAAATCTGTCCCTTTTTCCCCCCTTTTTGTCCCTTTTTGTCCCCAAATTTGTCCCTTTAATCCTTTTTTATCCCTTTCTGCCCCCAAATTTGCCCCTTTTTGTCCCCTTTTTGCCCCTTTTTATCCCTTTTCCCCCCCTTTTTGTCCCTTTTTATCCGGTTTTGCCCCAAATTTGTCCCTTTTTGCCCCTTTTATCCCCTTTTTATCCCCAAATTTGTCCCTTTTTTCCCCCTTTTTGTCCCTTTCCCCCCTTTTTTCCCCCTTTTGTCGCCTTTTTCCCCTTTTTATCCCCAAATTTGTCCCTTTTCCCCCCTTTTTGTCCCTTTTTGTCCCCAAATTTATCCCTTTTAGTCCCCAAATTTGTCCCTTTTTGTCCTCTTTTATCCCTTTTTCATCCCCTTTTTATCCATTTTTGTCCTTTTTATCCCTTTTTTTGCCCCTTTTGTCCCTTTTTATCCCTTTTTGTCCCCAAATTTGTCCCTTTTTGTCCCCTTTTTGCCCCTTTTTCCCCAAATTTGTCCCTTTTTGTCCTTTTTTCCCCTCTTTTCCCCCAGATTTGTCCCTTTTAGTCCCCAAATTTGTCCCTTTTTGTCCTTTTTTCCCCTCTTTTTCCCCAAATTTGTCCCTTTTAGTCCCCAAATTTGTCCCTTTTTGTCCTTTTTTCCCCTCTTTTTCCCCAAATTTGTCCCTTTTAGTCCCCAAATTTGTCCCTTTTTGTCCTCTTTTATCCCTTTTTCATCCCCTTTTTATCCATTTTTGTCCTTTTTATCCCTTTTTTTGCCCCTTTTGTCCCTTTTTATCCCTTTTTGTCCCCAAATTTGTCCCTTTTTGTCCCCTTTTTGCCCCTTTTTCCCCAAATTTGTCCCTTTTTGTCCTTTTTTCCCCTCTTTTCCCCCAGATTTGTCCCTTTTAGTCCCCAAATTTGTCCCTTTTTGTCCTTTTTTCCCCTCTTTTTCCCCAAATTTGTCCCTTTTAGTCCCCAAATTTGTCCCTTTTTGTCCCCTTTTATCCTTTTTTCATCCCCTTTTTATCCATTTTTGTCCTTTTTATCCCTTTTTTTGCCCCTTTTGTCCCTTTTTATCCCTTTTTTGTCCCCAAATTTGTCCCTTTTTTGCCCCTTTTCCCCCAAATTTGTCCCTTTTTGTCCTTTTTCCCCCTCTTTTCCCCCAGATTTGTCCCTTTTAGTCCCCAAATTTGTCCCTTTTTGTCCCCTTTTATCCTTTTTTTATCCCCTCTTATCTCTTTTTCTCCCCAAATTTGTCCCTTTTTGTCCACAAATTTGTCCCTTTTCCCCCCTTTTTTCCCCTTTTGGTCCTTTTTTATCCCTTTTTTTCCCCAAATTTGTCCCTTTTTGTCCCTTTTTTCCCCTTTTTGTCCTTTTTTATCCCTTTTTTATCCCTTTTTATCCCTTTTTTTCCCCAAATTTGTCCCTTTTATCCCCATTTTCCCCCTTTTTGTCCCTTTTTATCCCTTTTTTCCCCCAAATTTGTCCCTTTTTCCCCCATTTTCCCCCTTTTTGTCTCTTTTTTCCCCTTTTCCCCCCTTTTTGTCCCTTTTATCCCCTTTTGTCCACAAATTTGTCCCTTTCCTCCCCTTTTTTCCCTTTTTTATCCCTTTTTTTGTCCCTTTTTATCCCTTTTTTATCCCCTTTTGTCCCTTTTTCCCCCATTTTCCCCCTTTTTGTCCCTTTTTCCCCCATTTTCCCCCTTTTTGTCCCTTTTTTCCCCTTTTCCCCCCTTTTTCCCCCGTTCTGTGCTCACCTTCTGGGGTCCCACGCCGGGACACAGGGACAGCTCCCCCCGGGCCGCGCCCGCCACGGCCGCCAGCGACTGCGGGGGGACAGCGAGGGGACAGAGCCCCGGGGCTGGGGACGCGCGCCACGGGGTCCCCGGGGTCCCCAGTGTCCCCAAATGTGCCCAATGTCCCCAAATGTCCCCAGTGTCCCCAGCATCCCCAGTGTCCCAAATGTCCCCAATGTCCCCAATGTCCCCGGGGTCCCTGCTGTCCCCAATGTCCCCAGCGTCCCCAGTGTCCCCAATGTCCCCAAATGTCCCCAATGTCCCCAATGTCTCAAAATGTCCCCACTGTCCCCGGTGTCCCCAATGTCCCAAACATCCCCAAATGTTCCCAAATGTCCCCAATGGACCAGTGTCCCCAATGTCTCAAAATGTCCCCAGTGTCCCCAATGTCCCCAAATGTCCCCGGTGTCCCCAACGTCCCCAGCGTCCCCGGTGTCCCCCCGGTGTCCCCAAGTGCCACCGCTCACCCCGAAGGTCCCCAGCAGGCTCAGGATGTCTCAAAATGTCCCCAGTGTCCCCAATGTCTCAAAATGTCCCCAATGCCCCCAATGTCCCCAACATCCCCGATGTCCCCAGTGTTCCCAATGTCCCCAAATGTCCCCAATGTTCCCAATGTCCCCAGTGTCCCCCCCCGTCTCCCCAATGTCTCCAAATATCCCCAGTGTCCCCAACGTCCCCAATGTCCCCAAATGTCCCCGGTGTCCCCAACGTCCCCAGCGTCCCCGGTGTCCCCCCGGTGTCCCCAAGTGCCACCGCTCACCCCGAAGGTCCCCAGCAGGCTCAGGGCGTCCGTCTTGTTGACGGACTTGACGCTGGTCAGGCAGTCTGTCACCTGCGGGGGGACATTGGGGACATTGGGGACATTGGGGACATTTGGGGACATCACTGGGGACATTAGGGGGATTGGGGACATTTGGGACATTTAGGACATCGGGGACATTTGGGACATTGGGGACGTTGGGGACATTTGGGACACTGGGGACATTTGGGACATTGGGGACGTTGGGGACATTTGGGACATTCTCAGGGACACCCAGGGACACTTTGGGGACACTTGGGGACATTGGGGACATTTGGGGACATCACTGGGGACATTAGGGGGATTGGGGACATTTGGGACATTTAGGACATCGGGGACATTTGGGACATTGGGGACGTTGGGGACATTTGGGACACTGGGGACATTTGGGACATTGGGGACGTTGGGGACATTTGGGACATTGGGGACATTTGGGACATTTGGGGACATTGGGGACATTTGGGGAGGGACACCCGGGGACGCTTTGGGGACACTTGGGGACATTTGGGGACATTGGGGACATTTGGAGATGTTTGGGGACATTGGGGACATTTGGGGACATTGGGGACATTGGGGACATTTGCTCAAGGACACCCGGGGACGCTTTGGGGACACTTGGGGACACTGGGGACACCGGGGACGCCGGGAGCGGACCCGGGACAGGAAGTCGTGCTCCACGCGCTCCTTCAGCAGATCCGGCGGCTTCTGCTCGTAGGACTTGAACGTCTCCAGGTAACGGCCGGCCTCCTCCGCACTGCCGGGGACACGGGGACACCGGGACAATGGGGACACTGGGGACACGGGGGGGACATGGGGACACGGGGGGGACACTGGGGACAGCGGGGACACTGGGGACACTGGGGACAGTGGGGACAGTGGGGACATTGGGGACAGCGGGGAAAGCGGGGACATTGGGGACACTGGGGATGTTGGGGACACTGGGGACAGCAGGGACAGCGGGGACACTGGGGACAATGGGGACAGCGGGGGGACACTGGGGACAATGGGGACACAGGACAGCGGGGACATTGGGGACACTGGGGATGTTTGGGGACATTGGGGATGTTTGGGGACACTGGGGACACTGGGGACATCAGGGACATCGGGGACATTGGGGGATATTTGGGGACATTGGGGATGTTGGGGATGTTTGGGGACATTGGGAACATTTGGGAACATTGGGGGGATTGGGGACACTGGGGACATTTGGGGATGTTTGGGGACATTGGGGACACTGGGGACATCGGGGACAGCAGAGGGCATTGGGGATGTTTGGGGACATTGGGGACACTGGGGACATTGGGGATGTTTGGGGACATTGGGGACACTGGGGACATAGGGGACACTGGGGACAGCGGGGACAGCGGGGGGACAATGGGGACACTGGGGACACTGGGGACAGCGGGGACAGTGGGGACATGGGGGACACTGGGGACACTGGGACACGGGGACACGGGGACATTTGGGGACACTGGGGACACGGGGACACGGGGACAGCCGTACCTCCAGGCCAGCAGCAGCGTGCAGTCGGCGAGGAGACAAACCTTGGCCAGGTCCTTGAGCGACTGGTGGGGGTCACGCTGGGGACAGGGGACACGTCAGGGACAGGGACAGAGGGGACAGGGACAGACACAGTGACAGCAGCAAGGTGACAATGACAATGTAACAATGCCAAGGCGTCAGTGACAGTGCCAAGATGACAATGACAGTGGCAATGGCAGTGACAATATGACAACAACAGTGACACAGTGACTGTGACAGTGTGACAATGACGATGACACGGTGACAATGACAATGACAATGTGACAATGACAATGACAATGACACGGTGACAATGACAATGTGACAATGACAATGACAGTGACAATGACAGTGCCATCTTACCACGTCCACCTGCAGCAGCAGCACCCTGAGGGGATGGGCTGGGATGGACACACAGTGACAGTGACAATGACAATGACAGTGACAATGACTGACACGGTGACAGTGACAGTGACAATGACAATGTGACAAGGTGACAAGGTGACAGTGCCATCTCACCACGTCCACCTGCAGCAGCAGCACCCTGAGGGGATGGGATGGGATGGACACACAGTGACAGTGACAATGTGACAATGACAAGGTGACAATGACAATGACAGTGACAATGACAAGGTGACAGTGCCATCTCACCACGTCCACCTGCAGCAGCAGCACCCTGAGGGGATGGGCTGGGATGGACACACAGTGACAGTGACTGTGACAATGTGACAATGACAGTGACACGGTGACACGGTGACAGTGACAGTGTGACAATGACAGTGACAGTGTGACAATGACAGTGACAATGACAAGGTGACAGTGCCATCTCACCACGTCCACCTGCAGCAGCAGCACCCTGAGGCCGCAGCCCCGGCCCAGCGCCCGCAGCCGCTCGTGGATGTACCCGGGGTGCAGCTGGTGGTACCTGAGGCTGGGACAGGGAGGGGACAGGGGGGGACACTGAGGGACAGCTGGGGACAGTGACAGGGACACTGAGGGACAGCTGGTGGTACCTGAGGCTGGGACAGGGACAGGGACAGCTGGGGACATGGGGACACTGAGGGGACAGCTGGGGACATGGGGACAGCTGGGGGTACCTGAGGCTGGGACAGGGACACTGAGAGGACAGCTGGGCACCCTTGGGGACACATGGTGACACCTGGGGGCACTGAGGGCACACCTGGGGATGCGTGGGGACACCTGGGGACACTGAGGGGATGCCTGGGCATACCTGGTGACACTTGGGGACACTGACGGGACACATGGGCACCCCTGGGCACCCCTGGGTCACTGAGGGCACCCGTGGGCACACTTGGGGACACTGAGGTGACCTCTGGTGACACTTGGGGACACTGAGGGGACAGCTGGGGACACCTGGCACACCCGGGCACCCCTGGGACACCCCTGGGCACACCTGGGGACACTGAGGGGACACCTGGACACACCTGTGTCACTGAGGACACATCTGGGCACACTTGGGGTCACTGAGGGGACACCTGGTGACACGTGATGACCCCCGGTGACCCCTGGTGACACGCGGTGGCCCCTGGTGGCCCTGTCCCCGCTCTCACCTGAGGAAGAGCGCGCAGGCGCCGGCGCCCAGCACGAAGTCGGGCGCCACGTCCCCGAAGTGCCAGGGCACGCTGCGGATGAAGCGCAGCACGGGGTTGCCGCGCTGCCGCCGCGACGTCAGAGCCCTGTCGCGACAGGGACACGCCCCCGGGACGGGGACACGCCCCCCGTGTCGTGACAGGGGACAGGGACACGCCCCCAGCCCAGGACACGCCCCCGTGTCGCGACAGGGGACAGAGACACGCCCCCGAGCCCGGGACACGCCCCTGAGACGGGGACACACCCCCCATGTCGCGATATGAGCACACGGACACGCCCCCGGCCCGGGACACACCCCCCGTGTCGCGACAGGGGACGGGGACACGCCCCCCGTCCCGGGACACGCCCCCGGGATGGGGACACGCCCCCCGTGTGGGGACAGGGGACACGCCCCGAGACGGGGGACACACCCCCATGTCGCGATATAAGCATGGGGGACACGCCCCCCAGTCCGGGACACACCCCCTGTGTCACGACATGAGCCCGGGGCACACCCCCCGTGTCGCGATAGGGGACAGGGACACGCCCCCGAGCCCGGGACACCCCCCCGTGTCGCGACAGGGGACAGATCCCCCGGCCCGGGACACGCCCCCCTATCACGATAGGAGCCCCAAGCCCAGGCACAGCCCCGCCCCTGTCGCGACAGGGCCCCGCCCACCTGGCGCGGGCTGACGATGACGCCGCTGCTGCTGGTGCCCGCTCGGGGCACCGGAACCGGCACCGCCGAGTCCCGGGGCTGGTCCCGGTCCCGGTTCTGATCCCCGGGGGTCGCGAGGGGTCCCGGGGGTCCCGAGGGGGCGGTTCCGGCGGCTCCGGGATCCCCGTCCCGGTTCTGGTCCCGGTTCTGCTCCCGGTCCCGGTCCCGATCTCCGTTCTGATCTGGACCCCGGTTCTGCTCCCGGTCCCGGTTCTGGTCCCCGTCCCGGTTCTGCTCCCGGTCCTTCCCGGTTCCCCCCGAGCCCCTCACCACGAACTCAGCGTAAGAACCGGGACCGGGCGGGATCGGAACCGGCACCGGCACCGGGGGGGGAGCGGCGGAGGCTCTGAACAGCGACGGGACCTGGCGGGGACACCGGGACACCCGCGGTGACACCGGGACACCCACGGGACACCGGGACACCGCCGGTGACACCGGGACCACCCACGGGGACACCGGGACACCACCGGTGACACCGGGACACCGGGTTAACCCCTCATGACCTTTCCCGGCCCCCCGTGATGTTCCCGGTTCCGTTCCCGGTCACTCCCGGTTCCCCGGTGTCCCCAGCCCCCCGTCCCCGGTTCCGTCCCCTCCCGGTCCCCCGTTCGGTCCCCGGTCCCGGTCCCGTTCCCAGTCCCGTTCCCCCCGGTTCCGCCCCCGTTCCCGGTTCGGTCCCCGGTCCCCTCCCGCCACCGCCGGTACCGGGGGTTCCTCGGGACCCTCCTGCCGAACGGTGAAGCGCCGCCGCTTCCCCCCCGGTGCCGGTGCCGGTGCCGGTGCCGGGTCCGTGGCGGCCCCGGGATTCGGGTCCGGGTCCATGGCGGGGTCCGGGGGTCCCGGGGCCGATTTTGGGGTCCCCGGTTCGGTTCCGGGGTCCCCGGTTCGGTTCGGGGGTCCCGGAGCCGCCGCGCGCGCTCCGGTACCGCGGAAGGGGCGTGGCCTCTGTCCTCCCCCACGATTGGACCGCCGCGCTGTCAATCAAACCATCATCCCACCCCCTTTCCCGCCAATAGGAAGGGGCGGGGCCGCCGCGCGCTGGTGGGCGTGGCCATGGAGCACAGACCACGCCCCCCGAGTGTGACAATGACAGCGCGGGGTCCCGAACACCCCCGGGACCACCGGGACCGGGAGCTGGCGGCGACAGGGACCCCGGGGACACCGGGGGGACACCGGGGGGGACACGGAGGGGACAAAAGTGACCGGGAACAGAGGCACGGAGCAGCCCGGTACCGGAACCAGGGGATTGGATCATCCCGGTACCGGAACCACAGGGTTTGGGACAGCCCGGTACCGGAATCACTGGGGTTTTGGATCATCCCGGTACCGGAACCAGGGGATTGGATCATCCCCGTACCGGAACCAGGGGATTGGATCATCCCGGTACCGGAACCAGGGGATTGGATCATCCCCGTACCGGAACTGCAGGGTTTGGGACAGCCCGGTACCGGATCCACGGGGATTGGGACAGCCCGGTACCGGAACCAGGGGATTTGGATCAGCCCGGTACCAGATCCTCACGGCTCCAGACCATCCCGGTACCGGAATCAGGGGATTTGGATCAGCCCGGTACCGGATCCTCACGGCTCCAGACCATCCCGGTACCGGAGCTATCGGGGTTTGGATCATTCCGCTCGGGGGACTCCGGTGCCGGTCCCGGTCAGGGGCTCCCATCCGTGGATCTCCGGTGCCGGTGCCGGTCCCGTTCGGGGCTCCCGGTTCCGATCCCGGCCCCGTTCGGTGGTCCCGGTTCCGGTCAGAGGGTCCCGGTGCCGGTCCGGTTCAGGGGTCCCGCTTCCGATCCCGGTCAGGGGGTCCCGGTTCCAATCCCGGCCCCGTTCGGGGGCTCCGGTGCCACTCAGGGGGTCCCGGTTCCGGTCCTGGTCAGGGGGTCCCGGTTCTGATCCCGGTCCCGTTCGGGGGTCCCGGTCCCGGTCAGAGGGTCCCGGTTCCGGTCCCGTTCGGGGGTCCCGGTCCCGGTTAGAGGGTCCCGGTCCCGTTCGGGGCTCCCGGCTCCGATCCCGGTCCCGGTCCCGGTCCTGGGGGCGGGGACAAATCCTGGCCTCCCTAAGCCCCTCCCACGTCCCGCCCCCGAGTTTGACCGACAGCTCCACCGACCAATGGGAGCGCCCCATTCAGGTCACGTGTCCTGTGCGGCCGCGGGGCCCGTGCTGGGACACGTGAGGGGGCGGGGCCTGCGCGGGACACGTGACTGGCGGGAGAGGTGGGAGGGGGAGACGGAGAGACCCCCCCGGGACCCCCCAAAATCACCGGGACCCCCCCGGGACCCCTCCCCAAATCACCGGGACCCCAAAAATGGGAAAAGCCTCCCAAAAATGGGAAATCCTCCCAAAAAACTGGGAAAAATCTCCATTAAAAGTGGAAAAACCCCCCCAAAAAAGTGGGGAAGTCCCCCCAAAAATGGGAAAACCCCCCAAAAAGTGGGAAAATCAGCCCAAAAAAGGGAAAATCCCCCGAGAAAGTGGGAAAAATCTCCATTAAAAGTGGGAAAAATCTCCATTAAAAGTGGGAATACCCCCCCCCAAAAATGGGAAATCCCCCCCAAAAAGTGGGAAAATCCGCCCAAAAAAGGGAAAATCCCCCCAGAAAGTGGGAAAAATCTCCATTTAAAGTGGGAAAACTCCCCTAAAAAGTGGGAAATCCCCCCAAAAATGGGAAAACCCCCCCAAAAAGTGGGAAAATCCGCCCAAAAATGGAAAAATCCCTCGAGAAAGCGGGAAAAAATCTCCATTAAAAGTGGGAAAACTCCCCTAAAAAATGGAAACCCCCCACAAAAAAAAGCGGGAAATCCCCCCAAAAATGGGAAAATTCCCCCAAAAAATGGGAAAACCCCCCCAAAAAGTGGATTCGGGGAGATTTGGGGGTTATTTGGGGAGATCCACACAGATTTCGGGGAGATTTGGGAGGCATTCGGGGAGATTTGGGGTTATTCCGGGAAATTTGGGGGAAATTCAGGGAGATTTCGGGGAGATTTGGGGAAGATTTTGGGGGAATTTGGGGAGATTTGGGGAAATTCGGGGAGATTCGGGGAGATTTGGGGAAGATTTTGGGGGAATGTGGGGAGATTTGGGGAAATTCGGGGAGATTCGGGGAGATTTGGGGAAGATTTTGGGGGAATGTGGGGAGATTTGGGGAAATTCGGGGAGATTCGGGGAGATTTGGGGAAGATTTTGGGGGAATGTGGGGAGATTTGGGGAAATTCGGGGAGATTCGGGGAGATTTGGGGAAGATTTTGGGGGAATGTGGGGAGATTTGGGGAAATTCGGGGAGATTCGGGGAGATTTGGGGGTTATTTGGGGAGATCTGGGGGGATTCCGGGGAAATTCGGGTTGTTCCGGGAGATTTGGGGGGATTTCGGGGTTATTTGGGGTTATTTGGGGAGATCTGGGGGGATTCCGGGGAAATTCGGATTGTTCCGGGAGATTTGAGGGTTATTTGGGGTTATTCAAGGAGATTTGGGGGCTATTGGGGGAGATTTGGGGAAATTTGGGGGGATTCGGGGAGATTCGGGTTGTTCCAGGAGATTTGGGGGGATTTGGGGAGAGATTCGGGGGAAATTCGGGGAGATTTGGGGGAAATTCAGGGAGATTTGGGGAAATTTGGGGGTTATTCGGGGAGATTTGGGGAGATTTTGGGGAGATTTCGGGGAGATTTGGGGTTATTCTGGGAAATTCAGGGAGATTTCGGGGAGATTTGGGGGTTATTCAAGGAAATTCAGGGAGATTTTGGGGAAATTTGGGGAAATTCAGGGAGTTTTGGGGAGATTTGGGGAAGATTTTGGGGAAATTTGGGGAAATTTGGGGAGATTTGGGGAAATTCAGGGAGATTTCGGGGAGATTTGGGGAGATTCGGGGAAATTTGGGAAAATCTGGGGGAAATTTGGGGGTTATTCTGGGAAATTCAGGGGTTATTCAGGGAAATTTGGGGGAAATTTGGGGTTTATTTGGGGAAATTTGGGAGTTATTTGGGGAGATTTGGGAAAATTTGGGGGTTATTGAGGGAAATTCAGAGAAATTTGGGGAGATTTGGCGGAAATTCAGGGAGATTCAGGAGTTATTTGGGGAGATCTGGGGGAAATTTGGGGTCATTCAGGAATAATTTGGGGTTATTCGGGGAAGTTTGGGGTAATTGGAATCTCCCAAAATTCCATCTCAAACCCCCAAATTTCCCTTCTAGAACACCAAATTTCCTTCTAAAACCCAAAAAATTCACCCAAAAATCCCCCAAAAATTCCCCAAATCCCCCCAAAACGCCCTCACCATCCCTCAGGCAGCCCATCCTGTACATCATGGGCATCAACTCTGGAACCCCAAAATTCCCTCTCAAATCCCCAAAATTTCCTTCTAGAACCCCCAAATTCCCTTCTGAAACCCCAGATTTCCTTCTAGAACCCCAAAAATTCTCCCAAAATTCTCCAAAATTCCCAAATTTTCCCCAAATTCCCCCCCAAATCCCCCTTACCATCCCTCAGGGAGCCTGTCCTGTACATCATGGGCATCTCTTCTAGAACCCCAAAATTCCCTCTCAAATCCCCCAAATTCCACCTCAAATCCCCCAAATTTCCCTCCTAGAACCCCAAAACTCCCTCTCAAATCCCCAAAAATTCTCCCAAAATTCTCCAAAATTCCCAAATTTTGCCCAAATCCCCCCAAAATCCCCCTTACCATCCCTCAGGCAGCCTATCCTGTACATCATGGGCATCAACTCTGGAACCCCAAAATTCCCTCTGAAATCCCCCAAATTCCCTCCTAGAACTCCAAATTCCACCTCAAATCCCCCAAATTCCCTCCTAGAACCCCAAAAGTCCTGGAAAATTCCCAAATTTTGCCCAAAACCCCCCAAATTTTCCCCAAAACGCCCTTACCATCCCTCAGGCAGCCTATCCTGTACATCATGGGCATCAACTCTGGAACCCCAAAATTCCCTCTGAAATCCCCCAAATTCCCTCCTAGAACCCCAAAACTCCCCCAAAATTCCCAAATTTTGCCCAAATTTTCCCCAAAATCCCCCCATTTTTCCCCAAAACGCCCTTACCGTCCCTCAGGCAGCCTATCCTGTACATCATGGGCATCTTGATGACGAAGGCGAACAGGTCGTCGATGAAGGTGTTGAGCGCCTTGTAGGTGAGCATGCGCCAGGGCAGGTGCGCCACCGACTGCAGCTTGTAGTTGATGAACAGCTGGGGCGTCATCGTGATGAACCCTGCGGGAAAAGGGATTTAGGGGCGTTTTGGGGGGATTTGGGAACGTTTTTGGGGATTTAGGAGCAATTTCAGGAGGTTTGGAGGTGAAGGTGTTGAGGAACCATGGACAGGAGCTCAACGAGGGGATGAATCCTGGAAAAAAACTGGGATTAG